TTGAATTTTGAATTTTTTTTGAAGGGAATGGAGCAGCGTACGCATCACTCATACATATGTACACATATATATATATTGTCGCATGTTACATTCGTGATGCTAGTAGCGTTTCAGTCTTCGCCGAGTTACCCTTCAACTTGTATGCTCGTCGGGAAGACCCGCGCACGCATCCCACACACACACATACACACACATGTATATAGTCGTGTGAGGACGCATTTCCGTTTCATGCTCGTGAATCATTTCCGTTTCATCTTTTCCATAGGATTTTTCCATTTACACCACGTCGAAAAACAAGTATCACAAGTAATGTTTTTTTCTCCTCTTCTTACTGCGTATCGGAAGGCAAAGAGCTAAGCCCACACAGCCTCAAAGTTTTTTTTTGTTTTTGTTGTGGACTTTACATTCTTGGGATGATTGTTTTTGCTTTTTGTTTTTGTAAAGTATTAATATTATTATAATAATAACTTCTATTATTTGTGTATTAAGTGATTGTCTTGTGTCTCCGTTAGTTGATGTCCACATTAGGTTCCTCCAGAATATCAGCGTTGCAGCGGCAATCCATTTTTACCGTTGCAACATTATGCTGAGGTGGGGCCTAGTTGACGACGGACCTTTGTTTTAAGTTTTATGTTTTATGTGTATTTATTATAATTTAATGACGTCGTTAATAAATGTTTTTTCTTTCTTTCTTTCAAAAAGAAGTTTCGCTTCAAAAATTGAGGCGATGTAATTAAAGTTTCACTTTAATAAAATAGCAAACGTAAGTCTCGTGATTATTCAGTGGTACGCCATGAAATAAATGACGGTTGTGAGCTACATCCGGACTTTAATGGCCACGGTCACCACATGTGACCGAAGAGTTCGTACTGCCCGAAAAGGTACTTCGTTCCAATAAAATCTAGATAAACTCAAGCCAATCATAAATAAAGAATAACTAAAGAAAAGTGTTTACTAGAAAAAAAATCCATGCGGACCAGGCAGCGGACGGGACTCGAACCCGCACCCTTCGCAATCCGGGCGAATGCACTGACCAATTATGCTACCACGGCCCCGTGTAATTGGTCAATGCTTAAAAAATCAAAACATAAAAGAATAACTATTTAATCTCTTCATACAATACATTTTATTTATATTTATTTATATACATTCGCGTTTGGACTGTATCACCTCTTAACATCAGGTGGGGTAGAGTGAGTGATAAAAAAATAAATAAAAATTCATTTCTTCTAACCATGTTTATGTTATTGAACTCTGGATGGACCGATTTCGATGTAATTTTATGAGAGCACCGCGACTTATTGATCTCCCATACAAAACTTTGAACCTTTCCGTGGTTTGAGCATGACGTTGGTAGATCAGACAGCCAACTATGGTTGCCTATTATATTATACAGTACCCTTAGCCCGAATCAATATCGAATTAGAATAGTTAGCGAGTGCGAAATGTGTTTGTCAAATTATGTATAGAAACTTGCACAGCAGCGCTACAATCAACGTAATGAAAACTAAAAATCGAATTCGAATTCGACATTAGTTAGTGCTAAGGGTACAGATTAACGCATTTATCCCGCATGACGGCAAGCGGCTGCCACACCTCCTACCACGTGGGGCCCTTTTTTTTATAACGCAGCTGCGCAGGTAAAATATCTTTTTACAGACGACGGCGCCTTTAAGAGGCACACCGCCGAACTGACCTCACACCTGGATCCCGCAAACCTTACGAACCCCCACAGTGGCTGCCCACTGAGAACTCCGTAACTCTTACGGGCGCTTTACGGCATAATATCCGCTAAAAAACCCTGCGAATACCCTCTAAGCTGCTTAGTGCTAAACCGCGGGATCCCCGTTTAGGGATTCTTCCGCGTTACCACGTGGGTCCCTGGAACCTTATTACCAGCTAACATAAAAATAGCAGAAAGCCATTTATAGGTCCTCACCAATAACAATGTAAAAAGTAAGTTTACAAAAACAAGGTAAGTTTTTTTAAAGAGCAAAGAAAACCTTAAAGGTAAACTGAGGAGCTGGCGAACAAAACGTTATAATAACATCAATTTAAATTTTACAGCCGCAGTAAAAAACTGAATGGCATACTACAGTGAGCTTTGGGTGTGGTTTTTAATTAATTAATTTTGTAATTTATTTATTTACTAGTGGCCCGCCTTCGCTTCGCTTCGGTGTAGAGCTGAAGTGTAGACTACAGTTTTTGTTCTCAGGCTTGTATTATACACAATGAAATTCATCTATGATTCTTCTTATAACTGCATGCAAAGTCTCGGCCCGATCGGTTTAAAATTGACAAAAGTTTCATACAAACTTTCATTCAACTTTCATTATCCACTTGGGGGTAGAATTGATCAAAATCCTTTCTTAGCGGATGCCTACGTCATAACATCTACCTGCATGCCAGCCCGATCCGTCCAGTGGTTTGGGCTGTGCGTTGATAGATCACTATGTCAGTCAGTCACATTTGAGTTTTATATATATAGACGTTTTATTTGACACACCAATAACAATAACAAAATTATTACGTAAAAAGAAAAACAAATGGGTATTACAAGTCTATGTGAATTATTTTTTAAGGTATAGCATACAGCATAAGGTAAGGCATACAGCAATTTCCATACATTTTTTGGCACAATATTAGTCTCTAAAGTTATTCTTCAAATATCTATATGAGGTAAGTTAACTCTTGTTACTAAAATATTTTCGATATAGTAACAAACACCTCTACTATTTGTTACTCAATCGAAAATATTTTCTTTTTCAATGCTGAGAAAGATAGGTGACAGATATCAATGTCATCGGATTTATCGTTACACGTCTCCATCAATCGACTTAGGGGTGTTACTATCTTGGTTCGGAAAAACCGGTTATGTAAATGCCAAGATTGGATAACGTGGAATTCTTCTTGGAACTGTGAAATTAATTTCAGCAAGCATATCAGGTACATTGATATTTCCATTAACCAACTTATGAAGCAACAAGATGTCGGCACATTTTCTTCGTTTCTCCAGGGTGTCAATTTTTAAATGTTTCAGGCGATTTTCATAATTTTCGCGATGGGCACGGTTACGACTTTTGAATGCCAAAAATTTTGTGAACTGGCGCTGGATTCGTTCTATTCTTTCTTTATGAATTTTGTACTGTGGACAGTGTTGCCAACTCGGATTTTGAAAAAGGCGTAGGCCCGATGAGAAAATTACGTAGATTTAGTATTTTTTGCATATGAAAAGTACGTAGATCTACGTAATTTTTTCTGAGTGAAATGAAGAAGTCAGGTGAAACCGAATGAAACGAGTATTTTGTTATACAATTTCTTTAAAAACGGGAGATAGAACAAAGAGTTCTTGGAGAAATCGCTGCATTGAAAGCATTTACCATGCTGACCATGACCATGTGGTATTAAAAAACCATGATTTCTAATAGATCACATGAAAAATAGAGTTAGTTATCGTAATACACTTGGTAAAAGACTCTAGAAAGTTGTGGTTAAAATTGCCAAGGGAAATAATACATACACTTATACATGAACACATGTTAAAAACTTACTAATTCCTGTAACTTTATCGACTGAAAGTCATTTCTTTTTGCAAACATCAATTCGATGTAAGTACTCATTGAATAATATTTAAAGTTTAAAAAATCATTTTTTAAGATTACGAATGTACCTACTAAGTCAAAGAGTTTTGTCGTTTCTCCTTTCACAAATCCTGCGTCCAGCATTAATTTAGTCAACAAAACCAATGACGGGAACCTTTTCTACAAGTTACAAGAGTTTTTAGATACATCTTTATAAGAAATTTTTTTTTTTATAGTTTTTAATTACAGTAACGGAAAATATTCTTCTTTATTCTAGTGAATTATGTTATTTTACAAAATTGAAAAAATTAAAGAAAATACGTAGATTCTGGGACTAAAGTTAGTAGGTTTGCAGAAAAGGCCTAAAATACGTAGATCTACGTAAAAAGACGTAGAGTTGGCAACGCTGACTGTGGATTTCATACGCAAGAGGCACTGTTTTAGGCGGTATTGATTGCAAATGAGTCAAGATTCCAATTCAAAGAGCCTAAAACCGCCGTATTGTAAAAAAAGCGTATTGTGACTAATTCTGTAATTACACGTATACTGTTTCGTTTGCCAGCTTCTCAATTATCATACTACATACAGTAAAACCCGTATAAGACGATTTCACAGGGACTCAACCAAAAACGCGTCTTAAGCGGGAAAGCGTATTATGCGGGATAGGGGGAAAAACGTACGAAAGATATTGATATTTATTATATTCTATTATTATGTCGAATGTAAGTATTGAGGTATTAAATGTACAATATTTAAGAATTATGTACGTTTTATAAAATGTAGTGTATTACTATTACGTTATTTAAAATAATTACTAATTTAGTTTTACAAAAAGTTTTGAGGCACTACCAATACATAGCGTCTTAAATCATTAACTGCTGATAATGCTCCAGGTATTATCAGCTCTTTCAATCAGAAGTAAGTACAAATAAACTTTACTTTTTAAATTTTTATTTCGTCTTAAATTTATATTATACAACCAGCAAACTACCTAGCAGCGAAAGTGATGCTTGGAAAAAGATGAAACTGAAATGAATCTGTACTGAAATCTGTACTGAAATGAAGGTAAGTATATACTTATATATATATATTTATTTTCAATTATATTGTTAACACAATTATACTACTACTATAAAGGCTACTAATTTAAGCACGTATTAAAGAGTTGTCGGCAATTTAGCATTAGATCAAGAATTTTGAGAGTAATTTGCAAATCCAATAGGTTATTCCATTCATATACCAGAAGTTTCACGAAGTTTGACACAGAACTCTTATGGGTTGATTGAAGAAAAAACAAATAACGCTTTCTTAACTCTATTGTCAAAAACAAAAAAGAGAGAGATATATTAGATTACATCAATAAAAGCATTCATAAAATACACTTAAAGCAGGTCAACGCAAAGAATTCTTCTTGGGAATTTACCGTTTAGCGTCACTGCGACCGATTCTCTCGTCAAATATGAACGGTTGGAACCTGGGAACTGTTATTACGTTACTGTCAACGTCGGTAGTGCATTCGTTAGTCGCAGCAGTTTTGATGTTGAAGCTGACGATTAGTTTGCCTTCTTCCAATTGGTAACTGGCTTGTTTTGTGTCCACGAAGGATGGCAACACTCGAATCTCGTTGTAGCTCTTCAGCGGTGGCTTATTTGCACTAATGTAAAGAATTCTATTCCTGATTTTCACTTCTATTTCAGTTTCATCGAAGCCATCGAGAGGAGTCGAGAGTTTGAACGTCTCTGATTCTATGATCTCCTTGGTGGCTCCATTCGTGTTTCGAGTGCAGAGGTTCTGTACTTTTTTATCAAGAGCTATGACGTCATTGCTGATCTCCTCGAAAAGTCTGTTGTGGTAATCTCTCGTGTGTCCGGAATTGGTATGACGATGTTTATGATACGGGCAATGTGCTGAGGCGATGGAAAGCACAGCGAGGAGACACAAAAGTCGATTCATCATTCTGTTTTACCGGTACGAGGTCTACTGGCGGACTGATAGCTCGTCATGTTTATTATATACTTAGTTAACGAGAGGTCACAACAGATAACCTAATGCTGTCTGATTCTGCTAGTGGGCTGTGTGTTTTTAATAAAGTCAAAGTAAACATACAAGAAGTAACGTTTGCTGTCCTGTTAATAAATAAGATAAATATCGATGCTAAAGGTTTTCAAAATGGATTGATAGAATTATTAGTTATATGGAGCAGAATTTGGCATTTGAGAGAATAAGGAATGATAATTTAATTAATTTATTCAAGTTAAACATGCAGGCTTACAGAATAACCCAAAACGCCGGCAAGTCATACATAAAAAATATTAACAATCATAGAAGGTATTCATTAAATTCAATAAAATTAAGAAAATAAGATAATCTAATAATAATAATTATAACAACAACAAAAAAAAACCGGTAATGCCAAATAGATAGGTAATGTCAAATAGTACTTAATAGAAACAAAGTCAAATCACCCATTGTAAAAGTTAATTAAATTTATAATAAAATAGTTAATTATGTCAAATCAATAAAACAATTAATAATGTCATATCTAATGTCAACTAAGAACATATAATGTCAAATATACTAATTTAATAAATAATGTCATACCGTTCGAATTATAAATAAATGAATTGTCAAATTCAGAAATAATCAATAAGCTATTTTCTCAAGAAACTCAAGTGCATCCGCCACTAGCTTTGTCAATATACTTTATACGTGATTAAAAATAAGTATTAAAACTGGCTAGGAAGGAAGGAATTAAGTTAACAGAAATAATTAAGTCTCATTAAATCAATGTCTCAATGATCTTCGTAAAATCATTTCTAAACTTCTGCACTCGAAAATATTAATTTTGATACCAGATGTCTGTTTTCCATTGCCTTAAAAATATTTCTATGAATTAACTTTAGAGGTTTAAAGAATCACGCCTGCATGAAGCCTGATCTACAACAAATATTTAAATTTTCTTGTCAGTGATGTATAACAAGGACCTAACTTTATACTGTGCTCCTGTCTGGTAGCGTAGTGCTCCTACAAACAAGGTCGACACCCAGTTTAATGAAAGCATGCGAATCATCACTGGACTCATCAAGTCTACCCCTCTACCATGACTCCCTGCGTTGGCCTTGGCAGATATACCACTACCGGATCTGCGCAGATATAATGCGGCGGCATCTGAATGGGAGAAATGCACAGTGCTGGCCATGCCGATCCATGAGACACGGACTAGCTCCCGTAACGGTAAGCCCTGCGCTTACCGTCTAGATTCCTATCTGGTCTGACGCACACCATAAAAGTATAATAATAATCTTTTATTCTATCTTAAGTGTGCAATATTTCAACTTACTTTGACGACCTCCGTGGCCGAGTGGTTTGTACGCCGGGTTTCATGGTGTCGCCGACTCGAGAGGTCCCGGGCTCGAATCCCGGTGGGGGCAGATGTTTGTGTGATGAATGCGAGCATTTGTACTCCAGTCATGGATGTTTAATATGTTTTTTCTATATAAATATACTTATATGTGTACAATATATGTATTCTATCCGTTACCCTAGTATCCCATAACACAAGCCTTATAGTGCTTACTTTGGGGCTAGGCTAATTGGTGTGAGTGTTGTAAATATTTATTTATTTACTAATTACATAGTTTTTAACTTATAAAGTAGATAATAGTACAAAAAAAATCTTAGGCATAAGAGTTTTCTGACATAGTCAGACTGAGCCCAAGCTAGACTATAAAATAATCTGTGTTAAAGACAACAGTCCCGTTCCCTCGTCGTATCCTATAAAAAGTTAATTACAAAGGCTCAAACATGCTATATTACACACACACACATACTTTAAGACCAAATAATATTAGCCGCATTTATAAATGCGTATTTTTTACCGTATTAAAAGTTGTGGTTTTTCTTTTATATACAAGGTGTAAAAAAACATATGACAAAGACTAAAACTACGCATTCTGTACACCCAAACAAGTCATATTTTAAAATATTATAGGTGGGAAAATTTTCTATTTTTAAGTTAATAAATACATTTTTTTCCTGTACGCAATGTATAGCGCGGCGCGCTAGTGTGGCGCTACGTAAATAATGTGCCTGTGTGTATGTGTGTAAGTGCGTCAGTAAAAAAGTTTCTAAATAACGTTTTGAGAAAGAAAGAAAGTTTTAACTTTGATCTTCAATATCTCCATAAATATAAATTTCCCAGGTATGGTCCAGAAGAAAAAAATGATCCTCGTGATGTGGAAAATACGTGGCCTTCGACTTCGTTATAGGTTTTTTACACCCTGTAGGTAAGTACTTTAATTAGATTTTTAGGATGTGGCAGTTAGTAAGGTTTCAGTTTCGTCATAAGACTTTGTTCTGTGACCGAGAAAGAAAAGAAAGTGTTCCGTAAATTGAAGTTCTTTAAAAATGAGGGAGGCATGGTGTGCTTCTTGGAACAGCTTTTACCACCGACAAATATCAGTTACCGGTCCCGACATTGTGGGTCAAACTGAACAGGACACGGGCGATCAAATCACCACTTGCCCAGCTGGGGATTTAAATACACACCAGCCTGTGAGTATTATTATTACACCAGTATATTCGCCTAACGGAAATGCTTTGGAAAACGTTAAAGCTTACGATTTCATTTTGTTTTTTCTAGCTGCCTGAGGTTTTCAAATGCCTCGCGCTCTTCTTGTTTCTTTTGCATTGGTAATAACAATATTAAAGAAAATCAGCGTGAGGTATTTGAAAACCTCCGGCGGTCAGAAATAACAAAATGAAATCGAAATCGCTAGCGTTTTCCAAAGCATTTCCGTTAGGCGAATGGCCCCCTGGTCTAGACCTTACTTCACGTTATCGAAGACTACCCGCTGTACCGTTTTCCGGGTTTCCTGGTACACGGTTTAAAAGAGCTCAACAAGTTGACCCTGCGGCCGTAGAAGGGCTGAAAATCTTGAAATTTGAGGTTTAGCCTGACTCAGTTCCATTGGCCATACGCTATGATGATAACCTAACTTCAAACATTCTTTTGTAATAAGGATCCAATTTTTCCCCATTTGTTCGTTACTAAGTTATGTTTATAATAAATGTAGGTACTCTGTTTTCTACTTCATATTATGAATGTGAAAGTTTGTATGTACGAGTATGTTACTCAATCACGCAAATACTACAAAAAGGATTTGGATAAAATTTGGTGCGCATATTGTTTATATCACCCATCCCTCAATGTCTCAAGTCGAAAGTCTTCGTCCTCCCAGTTATGACATATGGCGCCGACACGTGGACACTCACGGCTGGACTGGTCCACCAGTTCAAAGTCGTTCAGAGAGCTATGGAAAGGGCTATGCTCGGAGTATCCCTGAAGGACCGCATCAGAAATGATTCGACAGAGAACCAGAGTCACCGACATAGCCCACTGTTGTGGCTGGTCACTGGTACAGTGGGCTGGTCACATTAGCCGCAGAACTGACGGCCGATGGAGCCGTAAAGTTTTTGAGTGGAGTTCGCGACTCGGTAAACGTAGTGTGGGATGCCCTGAGACAAGATGGGATGATGACATTCGTAGGCTGGCTGGAGTGAGCTGGATGAGAGTGGCAGAAAATCGGGAGCAGCGGCGTGCGTTAGGGGAGACCTATGTCCAGCAGTGGACGAACATGGGTCGATGATGATGATGATTGTTTATGTCCTGGATAGAGACATAGGATACTTTTTATCTCGGAAAAATATTAGGTTGCACAATGTACGGGCGGCCGCTTGTATAAAATATTAAAATATTTATATACTGGTACAGTTACGTCAACACAGAAAACCTAACGTTACCTTCTTGATAAACAATTCATGATCACTGATCACATTATTTTAGACACGGTCGTTAATATTTATATACCTCGTCTTTATTCTCCAACTTTAGAACAATATATTTCATTTCGTGTAACAATAAAGAATCTAAGAAAGCAGCGGAAATATATATCGGTGTTTCTTGTATAAGTAGGAATAAATTGCTATGTCACGAAGAAAGACCAAGAAGCCTACATTTTTAATACAACAATTCCAGGAGATAGACATCTTTACTTTTTCACAAAATAATAGATATTTATTAATTATATTTTATTTTAGAGGAGCACCATCAAGTGCAGGTGGTTAGCGCATTCGACCTGCGATCGCGAAAGTTAAGAAACTTTCGCAATGGTCAGTCATTAGATGGGTGACCAAAAACATATTATTTCGAGCCCCCCCGTGCTTCAGCAGGTACGTTAAGCCTTTGGTCCCGGCTGCATCAGCAGTCCAATGCACACTGGGCCCGTGTGGTGGGTCCCGGCCCAAACTCCTTATTCCATTTATAGGGAAAGCCTGTGTCCCAACAGTGGGTACATTACAGGTCGGTGATGATGATGACACTAACACCTTCTGAAAGTGGAGTTTAAGTTATTGAACTTTAAAGCGCTAATTTTTGTTCGAGTAGGGCGTTTCCCCTCTAAAAGCTAAACTATTGGCTTGAAAACCTGGAAAAAATAATGATAATTGTGCTTTTCATGAGCTTTTAAAGAAAACTATAACGGTAAAGACAAATTTATTAGTTTAAGAGTAATAGTCGTTCAACTTTGGTTAAAGAAAATTTCTTACCCATTGAAAATTTCTTGGAAGAAAACATTAATAGCGACAAAGATGAAGTTATTTTAGCGTAAAACCTTGCGTTGCAAAACAAAATCCAAAAAAAAGCTTTTTCAAAGCCACATTAATATATGATTAGTTACAGAAAGCTACCGCGAGTACCAACTACAACGGCTTCAGAATCGCGCTATCGTTACGTTTAGAAACAATAATATAATTTATCATCAGTTTGACTTTGATTTAGGTATTTTAGTTGAGATACGTAGTTTGGTATTAATTGATTTTTTAATTTCCAATACAGAAAATATGGACTCGTTCTAAAACATATTGTGGTAATAACAGGCAACTACGGAACCTTACACTGCGCGTGGCACGACACGCACTTGGCCGGTTTTATATTAATAGCCAGTTTAATCAGTGCCGATATAAGGATTCCCTTATCTATATATATAAAACTCAATGGTGACTGACTGACATAGTGATCTATCAACGCTCAGCCCAAACCACTGGACGGATCGGGCTGAAATTTGGCATGCAGGTAGATGTTATGACGTAGGCATCCGCTAAGAAAGGATTTTGATCAATTCTACCCCCAAGGGGATAAAATAAGGAATGAAAGTTTGTATGAAACTTTGTCAATTTTAAACCGATCGGGCTGAGACTTTGCATGCAGGTATAAGAAGATTCATAGATGAATTTCATTGTGTATAATACAAGCCTGAGAACAAAAACTGTAGTCTACACTTCAGCTCTACACCGAAGCGAAGTGAGGGCGAGCCGCTAGTATTCTATATATTTAATTAGCCCATGCAATTACATTTTCATGAAATAAAGAAGAACACATACAAACGTACATGAATCCTTTAAATTAAATATTGCACATATTTTTTGGGTGTCGAGTAAAATAGCAAACTGTAATACATTTACATATTTTACATGGCTGGTATTTTCAACGCCAGTTTTAATTGTATAAACTATTGTTACTGTAATTAAATAATTTTACCATCATGAAAGTGTACGCTGTCTCCTGCCCATGAGGCTGAGTAATAATCTTCTTCAGAGAGTCCAAACTGTCTTGCATTGTTGTTGAACACAATGGGGCGTAGCCTTGCTTGCAGTTGGCTTTGCAAGTTTTACTTTTTGCTTTGAAAATTTAATCCATTTGATTATAGTGAACTAGTGGCCCGCCCTCGCTTCGCTTCGGGGTAGAATTGATCAAAATCCTTTCTTAGCGGATGGCTACGTCATAACATCTACCTGCATGCCAAATTTCAGCCCGATCCGTCCAGTGTGCAGTGGTTTGGGCTGTGCGTTGATAGATCACTATGTCAGTCAGTCACCTTTGAGTTTTATATATATAGATAGTGATTTCGTGAGTTGACAGTCATTCAACAGTAGTCGATTTCTTTATGCAACATTTCCACATTTCCACCAATCTATATAGGTATCAAATTTAGGAAAATATACTACCCAGCATTTATTGTAAATATACTTGGTAGATTTAAAAACTTATTTTGTAGAAGAAAACCATGAATTTAGATTATAAACAAGTTAACAAAGTTTCGCCTTCACTATTGTTTTTATTTAAAAGTAAAGTACTGAAAAAAGTGTGTAGCTACTTAGGTATGTAATTTAGGTCGATATTTTTTGTTATTTAAAAAGAGGAACCCAAAATCTGTCTCACAAACATTCCAAAAAGTTGCAGAATTCTGCTGTGTGAGCAGCATGTTAGGGCTATGCTCGGAGTATCCCTGAAGGACCGCATCAAAAATGATGTAATCCGACAGACAACCAGAGTCACCGACATAGCCCACCAAATTAGCAAACTGAAGTGGCAGTGGACTGGTCACATTAGCCGCATAACTGACGGCCGATGGAGCCGTAAAGTTCTTGAGTGGAGACCGCGACTCGGTAAACGTAGTGTGGCACGCCCTGAGACAAGATGGGATGATGACATTCGTAGGCTGGCGTGAGCTGGATGAGAGCGGCAGAAAATCGGGAGCAGTGGCGTGCATTAGGGGAGATGTCCAGCAGTGGACGAGCATGGATCGATGATGATGATGATGATGATGAGCAGCATGTGACTAGTGTTTACGTGTTAATATGTTTAGCAGTTCTTTGTCACGTGTAAATTATGATTCCATTTCATTGCTATTTATTAACACCTGTAAATATCACTGGGTATTTTTGAAATAATTCGAATTCATGAAAATATTTCTTAGCTATATATTTTTATTCAAAAGTATTACAATATCAGAAGTGTATATAAACGGTATACATAAAAGAATTTAAAATATCGTTTTATATCTAGAGATGCTGAATAGCTTTACATAATTAAGAACTAAGGGTTTAATATTTTTATTTTTTAAGAATTTAACTGCTAGATGTATAAATCTAAAGAAAAAAATACTTTTAATTGAATATTATAGTACTTTATTTTATTTACGGGATTGCTACCAAATGCCTCGCTTTCATTATCACGGAGTAACATTAAAACATTAGTTACTACTCCGTGACTGGGGCGCTTTCAACATGCCGAAATATCGGAGACTCACCAAAACAAGGTACATGGTAGTAAAAATATACATCATAAAATATATAGACCATGGAAGTTTAAAATAATTATATCAATAGAATATTTTACACTTGCACATTTTCTGCTTTAGTCATTGAAAATTGCTTTTGAATGTACTTTTTTTTAACACATGCAATAAAGAAAACACGTATATTTTTTTAGAAAATGTAAAAGACTACTCTTACATAAAACTTGTACGTTCTTGAATTGAAAGTGTATAAGCTTCTCCGAATTCAGACACTATATTCACAGACTCATCTAAGTTAACACTACACATGTTTTCCCATTTTCTAATTGGAAATTGGATCTCTAGGAGATCATTCTCGTACAGCCAAAGTGCTTTCTTTGTGTCCACAAAAGAAGGAAGCAATTTGAGTTCCATATGAACCTTCGGCGGAATGATATTTTCGGCGTAAATTGAGAGCACACGATGTTTTGTTTTTATCTCGAAATTTTCTTCAGTGTAACCTTTTAAAGGCACGTATAAAACGTAAAAGTCCTCACGGATCATCTCCAGCGTGCTGTTGTTGCAGAAATAATTCAGATTATATTCGATGGTTTGAAAATCGCAGTACAAGTCTTCGAATTTGGTCTCCGGAGATTCAGTTGAAGTTATGACGGGAATTTCTGTCGTTGAAATTGTCGCCTTGGTGGTTGTTGCAACTGTTGACTCCGGAACATCGGTTGCAGTTATAGCTGTTGTCTCCGGCACTTTACTGGTTGTTGGGATTGTTGAATCTGGAGGTGATGAAGAAGGAGGGAATTGGGAGAGTGGGGTTTGTGGTTGTTGTGAGGAAGTTGTTGGAGGAGGCGGGGGTGGAGGAGTTGGAGGTGGAGAAGTCAGTGGTGAAGTCTGAAGTGGAGGAGTTGGTGGTGGAGGTGGTGGAGGTGGTGGAGGCGGTGAGGGCACAAGAAGTTGAGGTGGAGGAGCTGGTGGTGGAATTGATGGAGGTGGTGAGGGCACAAGAGGTTGAGATGGAGGAGCTGGTGGTGGAATCGATGGTGGTGTTGGAGGTGGGGAAGTTGGTGGAAGTGGTGGGGGTACAAGAGGTTGAGGTGGAGGAGCTGGTGGTGGAATTGATGATGGTGTTGAAGGTGGAAGAGTTGGAGGCGGAGGAGTTGGTGGAGGTGGAGGGGGCACAAGAGGTTGAGGTACAGGAGCTGGTGGTGGAATTGATGGTGGTGTTGGAGGTGGAGGAGTTGGTGGTGGAAGGGGTGGGGGAAGTGAAGGGGGTGGTGGAGGTGGTGGCGGAGGTGGTGGCGGAGGTGGTGGCGGAGGTGATGGCGGAGGTGGTGGCGGAGGTGGTGGCGGAGGTGGTGGCGGAGGTGGTGGCGGAGGTGGTGGCGGAGGTGGTGGCGGAGGTGGTGGCGGAGGTGGTGGCGGAGGTGGTGGCGGAGGTGGTGGCGGAGGTGGTGGCGGAGGTGGAGGTGGTGGCGGAGGAGTTAAAGGTGGCGGAAGAGGTAGAAATGGTGGTGGTGGTGGTGGGCGTGGATGAGGAGGTGGTGGATGAGGAAGTATTGGAGAAAATGGCGGTGGGGGTGGAGGAGGCAGCGAATGACAGAGTGGACCATGACATCGTGGGGGAGGTCGTCGCGGTGGGTTTGGAAAAGGAAATGGATGCGGAAATTGTGGTGGTGGACCATTGAATCGGCCATGTGGTCCATGGCAACCGTGAATAAAGTCAGGCCGCATTGGAAAGGGATGCCGACGAGGAGGTCTGCTCATGTGCGGGTGAGTAGGAAATTTTGGCGGATGATGATTAGGGAAGCGGTGTGTGTGGTTGAAGAAAAATCCATGATGGCCGTGATGATGGCCATGATGATGGGAAAGCACTAACGTCGGAAATAAGATTAATAATAATATGCCACGACGTGAACTTTGATACATTTCGATATGCGCGTCTCGCGGACACGCGATATGTAGTGAAATGATTAAGCCAAGAATGAACTGCGATTTATATTGAAATGTCCATGTATGTGTTTGATAAAACTAGTGTTAATTGTAAGTAAGAATTTAATGTTATACTTGTGTAAGTGTACACTTACATAAGTGCAAGTAGTTGAGATAAATTGTCTAAAAATAAAGATGTTATTATAAATATAAGTAATAAATGAAACGGACGAGCAACTGGAAAAGTTTCTATTAAGATTGAATTGCTAATAATGTTTTGATTTTTTTTGTTATTCCATTAAGCTGAGGCGGATATATATACTCGTATACAGATATAGCGGATCAACAGATAGAACAAAATTTAACACGAATTAAGAGCAAAGCTTTATTTAACTACGGCAGATTGATTAAGCTTCCCAAGGACGATTTTTATAAAGTTGAGGTAAACAAAGTTAGGGATGGAAGCTAGCAAATAAATTCATATTGGAGGTATCAAATACTTGTATTACAGAAAACCACGAAAAAGGACGTAAACTGAATTATTTTTAGCCTGAAAAACGCATTGACAATATGCAGCACCGCTGTGGATAGGTCTTCCCCATGGATATCCACGCCGATCGGTCCTGCGCTATAATTGCATCTAGCCACTTTCCGCCAAGCGTCAAAAGATATTTATAAATAAACCCGGTCTATTGATTGATAAAGAGAAAATATAGTCGAAACAATTTTCTTTTCCTGTTTTATATTCTTTGATTTTAATCACTTGAGACGATAAATTTTTTGTTAAGAATTCATAATTGTTGCTAATATGATATAAACAATTTTTAAATATAAATAAACTGATTTTTGTTACTTAAAAATTACAGTTATATTTTTATTTTTTACGCATTTAACTGCTAGATAGAAATATAAAGAATTTTTTTACTAGAAAAATTCCATGCGGATCAGGCAGCAGACGGGACTCGAACCCGCACCTTTCGATATCCGGGCGGATGCACTATATTGAAATGTCTATGTATGTATTTGGAACACTTTTTTTTGGCTCTGAGCTAATTTTAGATTAAGATCAAAACATTAGTAAACAATAACGAATAAGAAGGGTTGATAATCTCAAATTTCAACTCAATGTCACTTTAAGTTGCGTTCAAAAACTTTTTAATTTTTAAACTTTCGTAAAAACTATCGTATCGTTAAACTTATCCGTAGTCGTAAGTTACTGCGTTCATGATTATTCATTTATTAATAAATTTAACTTTTTTAAACTAATAACCCAAACGTAGAACAGTTATATGCTTATAAAATAAAAATTGTAACAGATAAGGATAGCTATGCTAATAATTATCAATTGTTACCTGATTTCTAATTTTATTGATTTTTAATTAATCTCGTACCAATTTTTTATAGTCATATTTTTTTTTATAATATAATATGTTATGAATATTTTTATCTGAATGTGTGGTACCCATAGAAAAATTAAGAAATTTATTTCTCTTTATAATAGGTATATTATGGCTTTACTTTGAATTTCTTCACATAAAAATGTTATATGAACAATATCTCAAAACCTGTTCGTATTTTTTAAATCATCTTTTAATACAGTCAAGAATAGTACACGATAAATTCATAAACAAAATTTTATAAAGATACCTAAATAAATGACAATTATAGCAAAATTTGAATCTTTAAAACGCGCTCCTGTATAATTGCAGTTTTAGGGATACAACAACTTACGTATTGTATTATTGTGGTATTGCGATATTCTCCCCTTAAAAATGTTCCAACGGATGCCGTCTTGCGAACTCGCGGTACCTTTTCATATTCTAAAGTGCTTGTAATAAGCTTCGTTTGTGTTTCTTACATTCGTGTAATCCGCCTGTAACATCTTTGAGAATAATTGCGCATACGATCCGGAAGTAAAAGAATATTTTCCGTATTTTTCACATGATTTATTTAATGGTATGCATGTCATAGTTGTGATTATGTAAACATTAATTTAATCATTATTTAACATTAGAAATATTTATAATAATAATTTTTAAGCATGTAACTGCTCGATGTTTAAATCTAAAGAAAAAAATCCACGCGGACCAGGCAGCAGATCGGACTCAAACCCACACCCTTCGCTATCCGGGCGAATGCACTGACCATTATGCTATCGCGGCCCTGATGGCCATGTCGAATTCGTTCTAACCTTTCTTATTAGAAATGTTGCTCATTAACTAATATAAATTAGATTTTAGGTTACTTGTTGACTATGGGTAAACTATCTAGCGACACAGCTTATGCAAGCACTCCACATGGCCATTCATAAATTCAGCAGTCTCTTGTTCTCATTCCATATAGAGCATAATAAGGATACACAGCTCTCAAATTACAAATGTCTACTGAATAGTGTAAAGAAGATACACAAAGAATTCAACTTATCATAGGGAGTATGAGTTATATGTTAATTTACTTATAAACATATACATAAAGGAGATTGCTCAAATTGGCCTAAATGCACAAAAAATATTGTCATACACGGTAATTCTTGGCTTAATTTATAATTTAATTTACAGTCATTAGATTTCAACGGACACCTTTGTATAATATATTTACTTTAAAAAGGACTTTTAATTTTACCAGTTTGGAAAATATACGAATCATTTTTAATGGCTATGGGTGTAGTAACATTCAGCCAAAGACTGATCGAAGTTGTTTATATAACATAAAAACAAATCTATTATGTAAAGATCGATAAAATAAATCATTTTTTTATTACACTGTATCAATATCCACAACTATATTATCATTTTCACTAGATGCAAATGTGCTTAGATAATTATTATAGATGGTAGGCGACATCATAAAGTCTATTGCCATACATTTTTCGCCAAACACCTTCATAAACACATTATAATCTGTATATATGTTAGACTTTAAGGTATCTATCAATGGGCCTACGTTCCCTGACTATAAATTAATAAATAAATGAAATTATAAGGTGTGATACACTAAAAATCTAAAATATGGTTATCTTAAAAACATAACAAAAATAATGAAGCTAATGAATATATGGCTATAGAACCTAAATCTCTTAGCTTTATTTGGTTAACGAGAGTTTAAAAATTCTCTCTAATCTGTGGCTCATTCACAATCATCACACAGTTTCTGTCACAGAGTACCTACCTTAATATAACCGGAAATGACACCTAATTTTAAAAGTTACTCTTATGCATTAAATTAAAAACAGGCAACTATCTGTTAATCTACATGCTCTATATACCTGAATCTAATCCATAATTTCGGTACTTGGCTTGATTTCCCTAGGTTACTATATAAATTATTTGTTTTTTATTATTTTAATATGTTCAGTGTATATGGTTTATAGAAGTTCTCAGGGGTGCCCGTCAATAATATTCGTTTCTACAGTAATTTATATATAATTTCGAATCTAGGAAACAATTTTTCATGATTATTGGTCTTTAGGCCAAACATGTATGGAAGCTGAGCAATCTCCTTTTCAAATTTCAATTCAGCGTGCTATGGCTCTCCATTCTCTCTCACTATGCTCGCTGTTTCCCTACGTGATAAGATCCGAAATACGGAGATCCGTAGAAGGACCGGTGTTTACGACATAGCCCGAAGAGTTAGCACGCTGAAGTGGCAATTGGCAGGCCACATCGCTCGAGGATCTGACAACCGTTGGGTAAGAAAGGTCCTCGAGTGGCGACCACGTACCGGACGACGCAGCGTGGGGCGGCCCCCAACAAGGTGGACTGACGACATCGTCAAATGTGCTGGGAGCCGCTGGATGCGGATAGCGCAGGACCGCGCATTGTGGCGTTCTATGGGGGAGGCCTATGTCCAGCAGTGGACGGAGAAAGGCTGATGGATGGATGGATGGATGATATAATTCATACTCCGTTGTATTACGAGATAATAGCCCAGACCTTAGCGATTCGCTCGAAAAAACACAAATAACATATGGAAAAACTGTACGAGTTTTTTGGAGTACTTAATTCAATACTACGTCCTATTGCAGCCCCTTGGTTATAATGTGCCATTCTTATAATCAATTGGCGTGTAGTCCCAAAGACAACGATATATTATTAAATGACTTGTGCCCGCTCTCGCTTCGCTTCGCTGTAGAGCTGTAGACTATGGATTTTGTTCACAGGCTTGTATTATAGACAATGATCTTCTTCTTTTTTTTTAATATTTCCAACACTTACACCAATTAGCCTAGCCCCAAAGTAAGCACTGTAAGGCTTGTGTTATGGGATGCTAGGGTAACAGATAGAATACATATACAGTACATTTATACGTATATTTATATAGAAATACATATGAAACATCCATGACTGGAGTACAGATGCTCGTATTCATCACACAAACATCTGCCCCCACCGGGACTCGAACCCGGGACCTCTCGAGTCGGCGACACCATGAAACCCGGTGTACAAACCACTCGACCACGGAGGTCGTCATGTTGATGATCTTCTTTATGTCATTATTGTTTTTTTTGGTTGAACACGCTTGTCTCACGAACAACTAACTGGTCCATTTTTTTGTGTTGCATAGCACAGTTAACAAGAAAGGCTTTAAGCTATATAACATCACGCTACGATCAGTAGGAATGGAGCATCAATGAAATTTTTTGCAAAAAGGGGGAAAAATATTCCATTTGAGAGCATCCGTTGCGTGTGCTGCATAAATGGTTAAAGTTACAAGAAAATCATGTATGACGGAATTGTTCCTCTTCAAAAGTTCTTAAAAAAAATCTGGGACCACACAATTATTGTGCAGTCCCAGATTTTTTTGTGCTGTCACAATTATTGTGCTGTCCCAGATTTTTTATACAACTTTTGAAGGGGAACAATTCCGCCATACATAGGTACATGATTATTATATCTATCTTTAAGTTTGACTTATTATAACCTTTTTCCTCGAATTTATGCAGGACACCGCAAGGGACCTCTATTTGTGAAATATGTCACATATATAGTGTAATTAGCGTTGCCATCTTTATAAATCAGGATACCGAACTTACCTGCCCAAAAAGTCGGATTTTCAGGCCAGACGGACGGCA